TATACGATTCCTTTGTTTCACTTTGAAACCCTTCAATAAAACTTGTTGACTTGTAATCCATTCGTAAAATGACCAGGAACACAAGAGATCTGCAATGTAGAAACCTGGAGCCATCCTGCCTTAGGTCACGCGTAAAGTAGGAGAGGTAGAAGGAGAGCACAGATGACGCAGACTGCGCCACATCCAATACCTGAAAGGCAAAAACTCAAGAAATCTCGTTCTTCTCTGGAATTCTCGTTCCTTTGCTCTAGTTCGCTGCGGATGAAGGGGCGTGTCAGGCACTACGAGTAAGCCGCCGCGCCAAACCTGTCGTGTGCCAGTTGCAGCGGGTATGCGAAAACGATTGCTGTGAACGATATTATGCAGTACCCTCACGATATGATACGATACAGTACCCTTATGATACAGTATCCTACGCTTCAACAACTGAGAGAGAACTGGTTTGGCACAGTCTACGAACAACTTGAGCCCAGTTCCCTTAAACGCGTCGAATTTGTGTTTTTCTCTGCTCTCTCTCGTCCGCGTGGCACTCTATGTGACTTCGCACATTCCAGCTTTTCACGCATTATAGATGGCTCACCCACCGGGGAGTCCCCTTCCCTTGAAAAGGCCCGTTTCCTGGCTCGAAATAGTTCCTTGCGCGACTCGATGCATAAGCAGGCTCTGCCTTCTGTATCTGTCTGCGTTACTTGGTTTCGCAACAAGGGTATGCGACAAGAGAATCGTAATTCGCCGCGCTGAAAGGCGTCGCGTGCGACGTCGCGCCAGCAAATGGCGATGGTTTCAGGTCTAGATGGCGACAACAGGCAATGTAGAATAAAAATAGTCATAAATGTCTACAGTTTCGTAGTCCACGTGAAATTCGGTGCTCCATTTGACAGGGTAACACAATTGAGAAAACGCCGCGCCTGTCGTTGCGCGCGGCAGAGCGGCGTATTTCGATTCTCTTGTCCGTTTCCCTCCCAACAAGACCATAACAACAGTTCAAGATGTCACGTAACCGTCTGGCACCGCGCCAAATTCATCCCGCCTGACACGCCCCTTCGTCCGTAGCGAACTAATTATATCTAAAGCGAACATCTCTGACAAGGCTTGATACTGCTTTTGTCCTTGGTGCTCTAACTAGCTTGACCAGAGTAAGAACGGAAATCTGAGTCTCAATTCAGTAAACGCTTTCTGTAGCGCATTGGCCAGCTTTATCTGCATCGAAATTGTGGGACAGAGTTGCTAATGATAGAAAACAACATCAACGTAGCCTCATGTATTCAAGATTGCTTTTTGCCAGGTGCATCGCTGGCATACCGGGACTTTCTGTGGGTGTGAGCGTGGACGGACTGAACAGTAATGGCTCAAGGGTTTGGTTTGCTAACTTGGAAAGCGGAAGTCGCTGTACAGGAGACACAGTACGTTTATACTACTACGTATATTCGCCGAATTGGCAGCCCAACCATCATTCTTCAATCGATTGGTTTTTCATTGATTGGTTTTCTCAAGACAGCTCTTAGGTAATGCGGATTGCCAGTATCAGCAAACCGATAACTGCGGCAATCACTGCTAGGCTAGTGCAAGATGGCAAACTAGAACTGGATAAACCTATACAGGTTATTAGAATTAAGCGCTAGAGAACGCTTAGAGTGGAGTAAGCAACCGCGTGCAAGCTGTAGCACAAAAAAAAACAAAATTCCCGTTACTTGTTAAGAGTTAAAAGACGTTCATCTAACAACGCAAGTGACATGGGCGTGTCCTCATAAACCATGTAATACAGCGGACAATTCGGGCAGACTCGTGATGTTGGGGGAGAGGGGGGCAGGGGCGGGCACTCAGCAGCATCTCTGTGTCCTTCTTTCAGCGCTGAGATAGTTGGGAGAGAAGGTTGGGGAGAGAGACCAAACGGCCGCGCCTCAATATCCCTTCTCCAAAAAGGATCGAGACTAGGTTAGAACGTGGATGACCAGAGTCGCAGTTCGCTTAGGATACCTCCACGAGAATACCATCTCCCACTCAGTCTTTACCTTGATGCAGGGATCCTGAGGCTCCGATAGAATGGTCCCTCTACCCAACTACTTTACCCTTCTTTCTACCCGAGGCTCAGGTGAAGTGACTGTCTTTTCTGCGCCACTACTCTGGCCGTCTGTACGGTAATCCTAAGCCTTGGTTAGCGGAAGGAACGAGGTGCGTGCGAGCAGGGTAGAGAACGTCATGAGGTGTGAAATCGTAGTGACAGTACCCCCAACTCCATATGGTACGACCCCCTTCCCATTCCTATCTACCACCTTCCTAGGTTATCGTCTTCTCACCACTTTTCCACGGAATTCCAGTTCCCCTCAAGACAGCTTTGCCGTCGTGCGGGGGTGGGGGTGAATCAACTCAAATCCAACAGACTCTTTAAAATTAAACTATGCAGAAGTCAGGTATATGCATGGTTTCTGCTGCGCCACCTATGTTGAAGCGGGGGATGTGAGACAAAGATACAGTTTACCACCAGAAAAAAACTATCGAAAGCCGAGGCGAGGACCCCCTCCTCAGGCTACCAGAAAGGGACCAACTCCCCAGGCACGACCCGTTATGGGATTTGTCGCAAACATGCTTTTGTCCCTGAGTCTGACCCTCCCAACTGTGTTGTCAACACCGAAACTCGTGTATTTCATTGTCAGTGAAAGTCTGAATCAGCATGCACTCAGCGTAACGTAGGACACGTCATCTGTCTCTTGACAGATACCGAACTGGACCATGTGTTACGGGTCATATGTTACATTAGGCAGCATTCAGACTTGTAGCGCTACAGCTGTAGCGCGACGTATCGCTTACGTACGCGCTACAATTGTACCAAACTCCAGCTTCCTTTTATGTTTTTTCTTTCTGAATTCAACACCTTTCTCTCTGTTTCTCATGTTTATCTGATGCTGAGCTCCTCTTTTCTACTTTATCACATTAATTGGTGGTTTTTGATTAACAGAACACTGTGATAATTTATTTTATATACGCTTTCGACTTTAAAGTTATTTATTTTCGAGTTGCTAATTGATTTTTGATGTCTTGCAGCTGGTGTTCGTGTTTGTTTGATCCCGATTGCAAAATTGTTTCATACTATTTTCGAAAACATGCACTGATATTCGTATCAAAAAACTACATTAAAATTGATAAAGTAGAAAGATGAGGCTCCCAGCATCAGATGAACATGAGAACAAAGAGAAAGCGGGGTTTTAATACAGAGAGAAAAAAACATAAAGCTGGAGTGTTGGTACAATTGAAGCGCTACGTAGCGCTACAAGTCTGAACGCTGCCTTCAGCACCAAAACCCATCTTTTAGGCGTATTTGCCTGATTTCCCCGTTAAAAAAGTGGATGGAAAGGCAGTGCAGATCACCACACGGCAACTGCTATCGCATACTGGAGGCATTCGACATTACAAGAAAAAAGACGAGGAAGTGAGTCTTTCTGTCGTTTAGCTTTTCCGAATCATTAAGTGGTAAAGCTCGAACAGGCTAATATTTATTACAAAATAATGGGATGATTGTAATGGGAATTATGGTATACAAGATGAGATACCTTTTAACAAAAGCTTTGCGCATTTTACCACGAAAGCGTCACGCCATTATGTGGTACAAACTTATCGCAATGAAAGATATTTGATGCGAAATGACTACAAGTCTACTGTACCAGTTTATAAACAGTCACGCACGGAAGCCACTCCATGATCTGCTCTAGTCTCAACATATATAAGTAATTAAAGAGCTACCATAAGTAACTATCTAGTGAATGCTCTTATAGAAGAACTTGCACTCTAATTACTCCCTTTTCTGCTGCTTCTTCTTGTAGTCCTTCAGCGCTGCTTGAATCGCATCCTGTGCCAACACTGAAAATTTCGGCATTCCGCTGTGCTTATCTGTACATCAGCACATTACAATTGACTTCAGCCTTACTACCTATTGCAGACTTAAAGACACAGTGCATAACGTAATTATGGGTATCAGAGGGGAATTACTATGTGGCACGTGTGTGGGTTAAACTTACCAGTGAAAGATACAGCAAATAAAAACTGAAATCCCTGAATAGGAAAGGTGCTGAATCTAACCCACACGCGAGCATTAAGGAACAGACGCAAAAAGCCAAGAAGAGAAATAGGTAACGAAATGGCGAGAGAGTAGCAGGATAAGCGAAGACCCGTACACTGCCTTGCAGCGACTGTGAAATCAAATGGGAGAACGACATTTCTGAGGGAGGTGTCCAACCTTGCCACAGATCCCTAGCCTTCCACAAGCATGAACGTCCCCTGAGATTCCAGTCTGCGCCGCATGAAAACGGCTATATACACGTAAAATAGTATACTGTGCCTTTAAGTTGAAAGATGGGAAGGAAAGAGTATGGAAGGAAGGGAGCCTATGTACAAAATCAGCTATTTGAGGTGAAAGCGACGGCGCAAAAATTATAAGGCTCTTTTCCACTAGACCTATGAGCATTACCCAGATAGTTCCACTACATTTCTGCACTTCTAAATGTCAGACATGAGATTTCTGCGAAATTCCCAGATAATTTTCGAAGCCCCAAAAACCAACTGCCAGCTCTTGTAAAACAATGAAATACCCATACAAATACCCGGTACGCTCGGGGGCTCGTCAGTCTTGCTCCAGCTTTAAACGAAGAGTCCATCCAGGTTCAATTAGAATGAACGTAAAATTGAGGCAAGCAAAAAGTTAAAAATCAACCACCCCCCCCTCCTTGTTGGGACTGAACTGCACTCTAATGAAGCAGAATTTAATGGAAGCAATGTCAAAAAAAGACTGCACGCTCGAATCCTATACCCCATCTGGTACTGTAGTTTCAAACTTCAAATAACTCTTGTGGTGCAGTTCACCTGTGTTTGCAACGTTATCTGGCAACTGAAGGTTATGACAACCAGTGAATGGGTGGAAAAACTCATCAGCAGCGACCACGTGCTCAAGAAAGAGATACGGCTTCGCTATGACACTAAAAAGTCAAAGTATTCGCAGAAATTTCCGATGGCATCACATCCTGGATATACAGGGGGGCCAAAAAAAAAAAAGTCATTTTGCCTCCATGACTTTCAAGGCGCTATAAGTTACACTTTATTAAATTTTTATCGGACATTTTTACTACCATATTAAAGAGCACATTAAATACTATAATGATACTCCGCCACAGCCTTCTGGAGGAGCGCCATCGAGAGATTCGGCCGCGCGAAAGTGAGTGGGTACCGGAGTTGAGCGAGATCGTTGATTTCTCCGCCACTGTAGACCACCCTGTTGAGCTCCGCCCGAACTAGGTAATTGAGTGGGTTCAGGTCAGGGGACATATTTCAATATTACATCTTCATCAGGTACGAAACGCCCTTCCATTCGAAGTAGCGCGGAGTTTCCAAAACCC